CATGGTGACACAACTAGTTTATAATGACCTGAAAGTTGTTTACAATGCTTAGTTTAATAAGGACTGCAACCCAACACATATAGAGATATACATACATGCATACACCCACCCTTATATATCAAAGATTTAAAGGACTTTAAAATATTGCTGTAAGAGAGGTAAATATGAAGGTCAGGTCAAGGTTCTCATGTTCCTTTCCAGGGCCATTGTTTCTGCCACTTTGACTCCAACTGTCCCTTATTGCTGAGTCTCAGTCTGTCATGAACTCCTCTTCTCATCTGCTACATCATTTTTTTCCAAGAGTATTTCCCTTTATTAATTTAGCACAGTCATGGTTTATAAGCAAGCCCTTAAATGAGGGATAAGGTGGTCAAGAACTAACTTAGTTACCCAAAGTACAGGACCGTTGTTCTCCCTTATGCCACTAGAAAGAAAGCAGAGAAATTTTCTGTTTACTATCATTAGCAAATGTTCTCTATAGAATTTTGCTTTGGAAATGTGGGAAAGAAAGACAGTGTGTACATGTGTTTGTTTGTAGTTTTCTTTGGGGAGGTTTTATTACATATTCTATAGTTAGCATATTATGAGAGCTAAGTTAACATGAAATAAGAAAAATAAAATTAATCTCTGCTCCAAAGACCTGAGGAAGGAATGAATCCCTTGTAATAAAAGCTTGAATTTATAATCCCAATATTCTTCCCATGAATCATTAATACTGCTCTTTTCACATGGGGCTTATTAGCAATCTCGTAGGAGCCAGACACTCAGAGGTGCCTTTTACATCATCACGGATTGGAACACAACCAGTACTTTTCCTGTTAGTGTCAAAATGATGTGTGCTGCCACTAGTGACTCCTTAGAGCCTGTGCCTGGAGTACTCAGATTGGTGGGGCCAAAGGACATTCTCCCTGAGAGGATGGCACACATTTGGAAAAATGTGTTACACAGTTTGTTTCCTTCAAACACGAACACGGTTTTTGGTTCTTTAGAAGACCTTAACTGAATATGTCATTCATGAATTATCTTAAGGAATAAAACTGAGAAGAACCTGGCTGCTGCTGTATACATTTAATGTGGTGGGTTTTTGCCCCCAAAAGTTTTAAAATCACAGTGCATCTTAGGATCGGTGACATTGTAGAATAAAAGATATGTAGGTAGGGAAACATTTGGATGCTATCCATACCCATGGTTTATCCAGACCTTACTGAAATCTAGTTGGCTGTCCCTGCCATGGTGTCTGTTGAGCCTTCCTGTTTCGATAGTGAGTTTGTCACTGCAGCATGGCGTCTTGTATTGCTGGATGTGATTAGGTGGTCCAGGCTGCTAATTCTGGGAATGAGGGAAGATGTTTATGCAGTGCTGATCGTCCTTTTCTTGTTTTAGTGCACGAAGGGAGCCCGCTGGGTGAACTCCATCGATGTATCCGGGAGGGGGTGAAAGTGAATGTTCACATCCGCACTTTCAAGGGACTTCGCGGTGTCTGTACAGGCTTCCTCGTTGCATTTGACAAGTTCTGGAATATGGTAATTAAGCCTTTCTCAAGAGCTGGAGAACCTTCTAGAGAGTAAATAACCTATATGTCTAAAGGATCTGAGGAAACTTACTAAGAAAAACCTGTAGCCGGGCTTGGTGGCTCATGCCTGGAATTCTAGCATTCTGGGAGGCCCAGGCAGGTGGATCACTTGAGTTTAGGAGTTTGAGACCAGCCTAAGCAAGAGCAAGACCCCATCTCTAAAAAATAGCCAGGCATTGTGGCAGGCGCCTATAGTTTCAGCTACTCCATAGGCTGAGGCAAGAAACTCGCTTGAGCCCAAGAGTTTAAGGTTGCTGTGAGCTATGATGCCATGGCACTCTACTGAGGGCAACAAAGTGAGACTGTCTCAAAAAAAAAAAAAAAAAAGAATAAAATAAACAAGAAAAAGAAAAACCTATAGAATACCTTCTCAGAAAAACTAGAATTTGTTTATACTTTTGTCTTGGGCAATAACAACAAAAAAAATCTTTCTTAAGGAAGTGGCTCTCAACCAGGGCAATTTTTTTTCTTCTTTCCTACAAACATTTGGCAATGTTTGGAGTCTTTTTTTGGGGGGGGGGCCAGGGCTAGGCTTGAACCTGCCACCTCCAGTATATGGGGCTGGTGCCCTACTCCCTTGAGCCACAGGCGCCACCCTGGAGTCATTACTTGATTGTCACTACTGTGGAAGAGGGTGCTACTGGCATCTAATGGGTATAGGTCAGAGATGCTGGTAAATATCCTATAAGAGGGTTGGGCACGGTGGCTCACACTTGTAATCCTAGCACTCTGGGAGGCTGAGGTGGGTGGATTGCTTGAACTCAGGAGTTCAAGACCAGCCTGAGCAAGAGTGAGACCCCCATTTCTAAAAAAAATAAAAATAGCCAGACATTGTGGCAGGTGTCTGTTAGTCTCAGCTACTTAGGAAGCTAAGGCAGGAGGAAATCTTGAGCCCAAGAGTTTGAGGTTACTGGGAGCTATGATGCCATGGCACTCCACTGAGGGTGACAAAGACTGTCTCAAAAAAAAAAAAATCCTATAATGTACAATTCCCCAACATAAAGGAATTATCCAGTCCAAAATGTCATTAGTGTCAAGGTTGGGAAACTCAACTGTAAGGAATTAAGTATTTATTTAATCTATTTAATAATTTTAAATTGATTTTCTACTAACCATTCTTTTGATTCATTTAAAAATATTTATTGACTTTCCACTTTGCTGAACCCAGTGCTAGGTACAGAAGTTTCAGGAAGAAATAAACTCTACTGTATAGTATTTGGGCAGGTAGATAAGGATAGAAGTGAAGCAGACATTAATAATCGAAGCACTTTGCCTGGTGTTTCCTTATGAAGGAGTATACCACATCCTCTCAGCCTCCTAAGGCTGACTGTCTTTGCTAGACATTCTTAAGAGGGAAGGGATATGTTGCAGCAAAACTGTAACATGAACTAGTTAAAAACCATCAAGGCTTTCTAGTGTTGCTTTTCCATATGGTCTTCTCCACCTTTCTCTTCTCATCCCCATTCCTGCATTCTCCTGGATAAGAACAACAGTGGCTAACTTTATTGAGGACCCTGTATGTGCCCTATACCGTAGTAGTGGCTTTATATATTAGTGGGTAAGTTGGGGGTACTATTACTGTTCCATTTCACAAATAAAGAAATTGAGTCTAGAGAGATTGAAAGACTGGGCCTGTATCATGCTGTTAGTAAGTGGAAGCACAAACTCTATCTTGGATGTTTGAATTCTAGCTTCAAATCCTAGACCTGGATGGGAAGCCTAGCTTCACCACTTAGTAGGTGTGAACAAGGTAATTTCTCCGAGCCTTGATTTTTCTTATTGCTAAAATGAAGGAAAAAATACTATATATATAGAGAGAGAGAGAGAGAGAGAGATAGTATTTATACAGTGTATAATTACATATATGGATTATAATTTTACCTTTGAGGGGAAAGGAGTGAAGAGAATTTATTTAATGGCAGTAGTGGTAATAATAAGCTTTTATTTGTAGGATAATTTTAAAGAAACTACCTTTAAATTTTTCTTACATAGTCTCATTTGACCCTAACAACTATCCTGTGTGGTTAATCTTGGTGATGAGAACTCAACAGCAATTCTGTGTAGCCCTGGCTGACCTATATTAATCACTGTCATAAGACATAGAAACTGAGGCGGCAAAGCAGCAGTAGATAATGTTTCTCAAAGTGCAGTCTGAAGCCATCCTGCATCAGGACCGCTGGGGCTTCTGGTTAAAACAAGCAAACCTAGGCTTCGTTCCAGATCTACTGAATCTGAATCTCCAGGAGAATAGCCTTGGATTTATGTTTTAATAAACTTCCTAGATATTTATGCACACTGAAAGTTAAGAACTTCTACCATGCAGTCATAAAAGCACTTACTATTCATAAAAGAAACCCACCTTAGATGGTAGTAACAGCTTGAAAATCCTACATAGAAGGTTATCACCATTTTCTTCTGCCCAACAGCTGAGTCACCCAAGTATAGTTCTGCTTTGATTAAATGTTAGTCTTTCTTTTTTTCCTTGAAAAATCTACAAAAATAATATTTTTCATTTTCTTTTTTCTCCCACTTTGGGCTATTTCTCTAGGCACTTACTGATGTGGACGAGACCTATCGAAAACCTGTTCTAGGCAAAGCATATGAACGGGATTCTTCATTGACTCTCACTAGGGTAGGAGTTTCCCCTGACCTCCTGAGTACCCATTATGCTTTCCAGCGTTAAGAATTAAAATCCCTGGGTGGCGTCTGTGGCTCAAGGAGTAGGGCACCAGCCCCATTTGCCTGGGGTGGTGGGTTCAAACCTGACCCCAGCCAAAAACTGCAAAGAAAAAAAAAAGAATTAAGATCCCTGAGCCCAGTAAGCAGGGTCCTTATTGTTGTATATCAGGTATGCCTATACCAAGGTCTTCATTAGTCTCTCTACTCATGCGTCCAACTAATGTCACACCTGTATGTTATTTGAGCAGCAAGTTACCTTTTGTAAGACTTAGAAGTCTTCCAGCTTTATACTACAGAAATAAGCTAGGTGCCTTTTTCCTGGACATATTTATTGTTTTATCTGAGTCTTGTCTAGAAATACCAAATTCATTACGAACTTTTAAAAACATGGCAAAGCAAGGAGTCCATAAAGCATAATTAAGGAATCTGGTTTTTTTCCCGTATTTTGAAAGAAGGATTTTGAAGGTTAAAGATAAGCTAATATTCATCTTTATTTTCCTTATAGCTATTTGATCGTCTGAAACTTCAGGATTCCTCCAAGAAGGAAGCAGATTCTAAGTCTGCAGTTGAAGACTCCACTCTCTCCAGATACTCCCAGACATCCACATGGAAGGTCGCTTCAGTGTGGGGAAGAGAAGACACTGACCGGGGCTCACGCAAACGTTCCCGCTCTGTCCCTTCCTCCCTGCAGGCCTCTGCAAGGGAAGAGTCCAGGTCAGAGCTGTCAGGGAGGACTACACGGACAGAAGGGTCCAGTATGGGAGGTACCTTTTCCAGGGCTACCACCCTTTCCAGGGGCCAGACTCGTAAGAAAAAACGAAAGCCCAAAGTGGATTACCAGCAGGTATTCACTCGACACATAAATCAAATTTTCATTCGAGGTGAGAATGTCCTGCTGGTTCATCTTGCACAGTGACCAGCTCAGCCTCACTTGAGCTTTGGATTTTAGATATAAAGTGCATGAATTGCTGCTATGCTGTATCCTAGTAACCCAATGAAACTGATTTGGAATGATTCCCTCTGGTTCTGCATGTGCAGAGGACAGAGCAGGCTCAGTTCTCTGGAAGATGAACTCAAGGGGAAGAAGATGTTGGGAGGGTGAGTGCATTAATATTTATTACCTATGAGTATCTACACCATCTAGGAAAGATACCAACTTAAGCAGGGGTGAAATTTGATAGGTGGTGGCTCAGAGCAGCCAGCAATGAAGGCTGTTTTGATCCCTCTCCTTATTATCAAAAGGAATTCAGAACCTCATCAGTCTTCCTCTTCCCAGAGATACCCTCTGCAAATGGCATATCAGGTGGGACTATAAGATGCTTGTGTGGTAGCTTCTTGTCCTTCTCTGTAACTTCTGTGGCATGGTGCTAACGCATGTACCCTGTGGTATTGCCCCTCTGTCTGTAGTGTGAACTGTTTTGTGAGCATTATGGCAAGAGACTGTGACCTCCATGTCTGGCTTCAGAGAGTTCTGCATGAACACATCACACGGCTGAAAGTTCCCTTCCTAGGTGGGGCCGGCCTTGTATAAAATATCTTTCAGAATGGTTTCACCACGAATCAGGGGTGGTGGTTTTATTTCCTTTTGTCAGGCCAAAGAAGTTCTTAACAAATACAGTGGGTAGTGTCTAAAGGGACACTTTACTCACAGCCTGGCTTGAGTAACAGGAACACCAGAGTTCCCACGACTGCTTCTACTTGAATCATATTCTGTGCTTTTTTAATCACCAGTGCAGAATAGTCTTGACACAGACTGTTAGGCAATATTGATTTTTTTGTTATATTAGTTTTTATCCAAGATAACTTAGGTTCATTGTGAAGCATAAAAAATAGGTAACTAGTTAAAATATATGAAAAGAAAATTTTCCCCTGCTGTATTTGTTGTGTAACTTAAGCCTTCTGGGTAGCAAGGTGAATAAAGTTGAGGGAGTTGGGACGCCTGGTCCTTCTGCTAGCTTGCCCACTGGCTCACCGTACAATGAAGGTGAGCAGACTTCACCCCTCCATGCCTCAGGTTTTCCCCATCAGACACCTACCTCACAGGGCATCGAGACAGAGAATTTTAGGAAGGCATTTTACAGTCTCCAAACAGATTTAAGTGCCATGAGTAATTTTTACTAATTCTTTTTCCTAGCTTTGTAAGAATTCTATGTCTTATGAGCAAGGCAGGTGCTACATAAGAAAGTAATCTTCCTAGGTGTCATAATCATGATTTTGTAACATATCAACAGAAGGCAGTAACATCTTCAGGCACTGTTTTCCGTCTTCCATTCCTTCCTCCTAAGGGACAGGGAAGGTTCTGAGAAGAGTGTCTTCAGTAAAAGAAGAATAACAATTTTTTGTTCCTCCTTCCAATCCCAGCTCCCACACTTGCTTATTTAATCATTATCAGAAAGACTCCCCTAAACTTTTCAAGGGGCTTATATAATAGTACCAAATAATCAGTGAGCATCTAAAAATGACCATCCCTGAAGGGAAATATATGGAATTTTGAAAAAAATTTTTGCTCGTGTGTTTTTATTTTTAAATGCATTTTAGAGTCAGGTCAGATGCACTCTAGAGTCAGGTCCTTGCACTAAAGTTCATAGAGGTTCCAGGCTACAAATTCAAATGAACAGTTATCTTTAGAACTGCCCGTCTCTTCTGAGTAGGGTGTCTGAAATCTCAGTTCCCAAATTAATAGTTATCTTGTGATTAATCATCAGGCATTGTTGCCTATATCTCTTTATCAGTCTCTCTGTTCTCATGTGTCTTCCCTCTTGTCTCTCAGCTAGAAGCTGTAATGGATACTGTATTTTTCCAATAATGAAATTTAAAATCAAAAGGAATATAATCAGTTTCCATTCATTCTGGTCCTGATTAAATCTAACCTGCTTTATTTTAAACATGCCTTATGTTTACGTATATATAATTTTCACATATCCATATAAAGACTGATTTATCATTTTCTGCCCAACATGACAGTTTGGCTATGAAAATTATTTTATGTGCATGCCTCCATTTATTTGTTTGGTTTGGACTGTGATTCTGGAATGAATACCATCTAGTAAATGTGCCAGTGGTATACAAAGCATGATAATTATTTTTTAAAGAAGTCAATTCTAAAAAATCATGGCCTTTTCTTTATTGGAGAATTTTTTTAAGGAAGAAAAAAATAGTTCCAATAATGTATGTGCTATTCAAAAAATGTGATTATTTAGGATATTATTGTAAGTCGCTATGGAAGTAACTGAAGTCTTTCTCGGGAGAAGGAAGGAGCAGGGAGAAGTCATGGTAGCATTTCAGAAGCCCCCACCAACTTACCTGTCAGAGGCCCTAGGCAGCTGAAATGCAATAAAAGTGGTTTCTAGAGTTCTCCAGGGATTTGAGCTTGGGAAACTTCAAGCTCAAATTACGAATAGTACTTATTTTTGAACATCCAACTTTTGTTCTTTAATCTCTAGGCAGGGGAATATGTTTTCACGAGAATTCACAGGATATACCTGTGCACTTAATGAGGTCATCTCAGAAATATCCACCTTTGTTTAGAAGTGGTATTAAGAAACGGAAGAAATAGTATTATATCCAGAACAATTTGCATGTGACATTCTTTGTACATACAGGTGACTCTTTTGCTCTACCGTTAGTAGAATTTGGACTTAAGGTTGTTCTTAAGTATTTATGCTTTCTTTTAGGGACCATCTTGTGACAGAGGTAGGCTGCCTGCCTATGAGATGGTTGGCCAGTTAGTGTTCGAGGCAGGTTGGCTTTTTGTGCATGATGCATGTCAGGTCAGAAAGCCTAGAACCATAGCATGAAAATCTAGGTGCACAGAAATCCTTGTTACAGGTTGTTAGCGGGTCAAGCACAGCTCCCTTTCTCCCCAGAGTGAACAAGTCCAGCAGCACCTTAGAGATTGCCGGGTCATAAGCTATGAGCTGACCTTAATTTCAGAAGCCTTACAGAAATCTAGGTATACCACTTCTACCCCTTGAGAAAAAAGAAATAGAAAACTAATTTGATGCAGAATGGATATTTATATTTCTGTTTGCACTATTTTCACAGCAGCTGACATGGGCAGAATCGTGAAGTAGAATCAGTTCTATATATTGCTGCTTTAAATTTTCCCTTTAGGAAAAAATTAAAATTATTCAATGACAGCTAGCTGTCACTGGTGCCGCCCCAAAGCTTTCCAATCTTTAATGTATTTTTTATGAATGAAGTGGTTGCTGTAGGAAGGTTACCATGTAAGAGAAGAATATCATGGTATAAATATAATGGTTTTATAGCTGTTTTAATTGTTCTTTTCTTGTGCTATAGAATGCAGTCGACCCCTTTTCAGTAATTTATGTTCACCAGCCTGTGTTTTTCTTGTCCCAGAGGCTTTTCTTAGTGGTTGCAAAGCAAGGAAGTCTTACCTGGGTTTGTTGCAAAGGTGAACAGTCTGATTACCCTCTGGCAAATGGAGTTGATGGATTTAAGATAATTCTTTAGGGTTCCTTTCCATTTTCTGGGTTCTAAAAAGGGTTGAGTCTCCCTTACTCTCAGTGTTTTGAGTATTTTTCCAATGTTTGTAAGTTTTCTTGCACTCCTCTAATAAAAATGAAAACTCTCTGTCAAGAAATGGCTTTGGATGGTTTGAAGATCTAGGGGAAGAAAAATAAGTACACCTGAGACCTTCAGTTGGTCTTTTATTTATTTGGAATAAAAAGTACTTTGATAAGCTACCAGAGTTACTGCTTCTCTGAAAAGATGGGAACTGTCCCTTAGGAAAGCTGTGAAAGCTGTTCCCAATACATTGCAATTGCTTTTGATTTGTAGTCCTTTGGAGCAAATGTCTGATGTTATGTCTGTTATGTTTTTAGAGCTGTGGAAAAAAAGTGTTTGAAAAATTTTAAAAGGTATTATTTAAATGATGATCATCTGGCTGAATTATGTGTGAGCTAGATTTTAGAGCAGCTGTCCACTTCTTTTTCTGTTGTCCTGACAGTAAAGCTGATAGGAAGCCATGTCTTAAAAAGTGATTTGCCTGTTTCATACTGACATTTAAAGACATTAGCCTTCTATTTGGCAATCCTGGGGATACCCCCCTGCACTGTAACTTATTAATGTGTTTTGAGACAAGCTAAACCTGAATGACTATGTATCTATAGTTTCACTACTTATATACCAGCTGCTAAAAAAAAACCATGACTGTAATCTCGTCTTTAAACTACTCCTAATTGTTAACCGAAACCCTCCCTGTTTAGGGAAGATTGCTGCTAGTAATGTCAGTTTGCAGTGTTTTGCTTTAGATATGTATGTGTCATATGGGAGTCTGAAAACTGTAATAAATATGATTGTATTCATGTACCACTACTGTGTCATCTCTACTGATTTGGGGGGGAAGCAGGGAGGAGTCAGGCAAGTCCATTACCAAGTGAAGACTCCTATCTGGAAAGTTAAAACATCTCAAGTCTTCTGCAGTCTCATTATTGTAACTTTGGGCTTTTTTTTTTTTTTAACCAAAGCAAACACATCTAGATCACCATCTTTGAGGTAGATAGTTTTCCAAATTGATTTGATGTTCCTGCTTAGAAAAGGAACTTGGCCCACATTAGGAATTATCTGTCCTAAGCTACAAGAAATTGTAATTGCCCTGTGAAATTTTTTTTTAAATAATTTTTTTAGAGGCTGGAATGCAGTGGCTGGGTCATAGATCACTGTAGTCTCAAACTCTTGTTGCCTCGTGTTTATTCTACCTAGTAGTTGGTTGGCATTAATCTATTCTCTTCATAATCTATTGAAATTACCATTGATTCTGCCCCCTTTCTGAGAGTTTTAATGTATTTAGCAAATTGATCCTTACACGTTTCCAGAAATACGTGAATTTGCTACGTATCACCTTTCCTCTGTGCATGTACAAGAAGTTGAGCTGCTCAAAGATTTATGTGCTGCCAGAAGCAAGTCACCTGCTAACCTGCTAAAGTAGACAAATAAAAGGCACACTGATTCTCAAAGGAGACCTCAAGTTAACCCAGTTCCCCTGCTTTAAAGGATACATTAACTTGCGCTCACCTGACATAGGTGAAAT